CCATTTTTCATTGGTTTCGATTTTCTTCTCCCCCGATTCTATCCGTTTTGCCAATTCCTCGAGCATTTTTATGATCTCAGGGTTATCCCCCGATTCATTTTCATTCGGCCTCTCTATGATCGGTTCATTTCTGCGGGTGACTTCCTCGTATGGCTCGGGCTCAACCATGCTCGGCGCTCGGCATTGGTTCTGCAACTGGGCTATCGCTGCCTGTTGAGCATGTAATATTTCGAAGATCACCCGCAAATTGATCCCATCATTTTCACCTCTGTGCGTATTCTGGGCAATTGATCGGACTTCCCTGCGCATGCTGTTCTCGGGATCGGTAGGCAAATTTGTGTTGATGGCTACATGCGAACTGGCGTCGATACCGCGACCAGAACTCCGCCGAGATCGACTGGGGGCACCTCGTTACCGGGTGCTACATTGTTGTTCTCGCCATGGTGGCCGGACTCCGCATCCATGTTTAGAGGGGCAGACTGTGGTTTGACATTTCGATTTTAACATGGAATCAATGACACTTCAAAGAACAAGTGTAAAATATGGTGTGTTGCGGGAATTTATATCAAATTGCCGCTATTATCCTCAGCCCCATGGTGGGCGCCAAACTGTTTATCCTCAAAATCGAATAACAATTAAATTTGTAAGTGATTTTAAGGATACGCGGATTAATTTGATACAAAGCGATAAATTAAGTTGCTATTGAATAAACAAAGACAAAATAAATTCAAACCAAACGAGTTGGATAGTTTCAGCTTTGATGAAATAGCCACTCTCGAACCGAGCTCACCAAGACCGGTATAGATAAAAAAGAACAAGAGCTGGAGACTAAAAAAATAATAATATAATTGTTTTTGAGTGCGTGTTACAATATTTTTCATGAATTTTCAGACCCCCTTTATATAGTAGGGGAGTCCTATTTTTGGTATAACTCTATAAAAGGTAAAAATCTTCTGACTCACTTATCGCCGGTTCCTTATCGATACGTGCTAAGATCCCCGCTTTAATATTCGGTCGGTCACAGATATTTTGGCCTTCTATTTGCTATGCTAGATTGTCTGACAATGTTCTTCGAAGTCGTTCGAGGCTAGAACCAATTCTGGGACCATGGCCTCGATATTCTCAAAGGCAGGCGCTATGCCCCGGGTTCTGGCCCGGTGGGACGTTGGCTCGATATCGGTCCCTTGTTTCCATGTCTTAAGCCTGGCTTATTCTGTCGGGGGGCTAAGATGCACCATGAACTCGATTTCACCCGTTTACAAATAGAGTTAGTACTTTTTTGGGTTCTTTTTTATGGTATTTGCATTAGAACTCCGACAAATTCATATTCACCTCTTCTTAAGACCTATTAAAGAGGAAAGTGCTTTTTACCCGGATTTTTTTATTTATAAAACTCGAACCGGAGATCTCTGGTTAAAGATAGAGGGATTTGAGACAGAGCTATAAGCCGACATACGGATTCGATCGAACCCAATAACTTAGTCTAAATTCGATATTAAATTGAATTAAGAACCCACTTAGTAACACATGATGTCTTTTCCTAGAATTTAGAACCCTTATGAAGTTCGTTTGGTTACCAAATGAAATAGATAAGGATATTCTATAGAATTAGCTATTTCACCTTCTAAATGGATAGCTAATTCTACCGTTTTGATAAAATTATACTACCACTAGCTAATACCCTTAAAAACACTTTCAATCTGCTTCAATCTATTTTCTCGAATACCAAACTTTCCAGGGTTCCTTAGCACAACAAACCACTAAACTGAGATATAAGCAATAAAGCGTCATCGAATACTTGCGAATTGATTGCCAATGGATTTTGACATTTCTTTTTAATGAAACATTTGGAAGATATGGAGTGGCAAGCAGGGGGAAGCTAGGGGGACAAACGGGTTCACACTGAGTTCCCCCTAGCCGAAAAATTACAGTATATATATAAGTCTAAAATTATTTTTTATGTAAGTAATTGAATTCCCTTGACACAATTCAAGAACTGTTTATATATTTACTTGTGAAAATTTTAAAGCCGCTAGTGATAGCAAGCTCTTAAACTTTCCTATAGAGTAGGGCCAGTTAATTTGGACATGACCTCTTAGTTTTGTTGCAGTACGTCCTTAGCTTTAGAAGTAATGTTCCCATGGAATTGTTGTCGTGAAAAGAAAAGAATCAACACCTCAACAGTATTAAAGATATCATTATTTTCCCTTCATTTCGAGCTTGCTCGTCATCGTGTGCATTGTACAAATGTCTAGGATTGTCACTTTACAAATATATAAACAAGGTGAGAGTTGAAAAAGTTGAAATAAATATGTTTTAAAAAGTAGGTTGATGATTTAAACATTTTTTCAACAATTGGAAAAAAGTTGAAATAAATATTAAAACGGAGTAAATTAAATTACTCTGCAAACTCATGCATGTGACATGATTCAATTGCAGATATATCGTTGTTTTGAAATAAAAAACTCAATTTCCTACATCATATCATGGTAGTATATTATGTAGAATTTTCATTATATAGATGATGCTTGGACCTGTGACATATAGGTTAAATGGAGATAACTTTATCGTTGTTCCAAAGCTCTTTTTCTGTATTATATTATTGATGGCATAATGTTACCATCAAGAGTGTTACGGGACGAATATATCGGATTTCTCCACCTTTAATCAAATATCTTAAATTCGAACCTTGAGAATGACAAAATTCATAAAAAGTTAGTGCTTACTTTTGTAATGAGTCTTCATTGAAAATTCAAAATAATACTCCCTCCGGTCCACAATAAGTGACAAATCATTAAGAAAATATAAAACTCTAGACAAAAATAGTTAGTGTGACTAAACTACCCTTAATTAAATGTGGCAGCATAGTTAATGTGAGGATTAAAAGACTTTTTAGGGATACGTTCATAAGGGTAATTTTGGAAAAACAAATTAAATTTTTTTTTGATTATATAAATGGACATCTATTTTGAAACAAGATAAAAGGATAAATTGATCACTTATTATGGACTGGAGAGAGTATCGAACACCAAATGAGGCAAAAAAAAAAGAAAGAAAAGAAAGTAAGCTATGAGATGGTTAAATTGGTACTTGGTGAGACTATGAGATGTGTGCGAGAAAACAGACCCACCACCCTCACTGTTGACTCTACTCTGCCCAACAATTAATATTTACATTTCAAAAAGGGCAAAATACCATCATTGCGTTGCACTCAACCAGTACATCATCACTCTTACTACAAAGTCCTTTTTCGTTTTCTTTTTTTTTTTGCTTTTCAAAATAAAAACCCTAACCCTAACCCTAACCCTAATATGTACTAATACTCCTTGAATGCTCCTACATTTAAACGTTTCTGTTTTTTTTTTGATTGTGCATTGTCCTTCACTACTTAATGTCTTCAACAACCCCTTCATTGGTGGATTTTGCATAGGCCCTCAATCGTTTTTTTTTTAATATTTATGGTACCCGTGCTAGTTTGTGTGTACCTCGACTAGTTTCACATGATACCTGTTACCTCTCTCAATTAATTTATTATCATAATTTGCTTTGCTTTGTCTTTAACATAAATATTTAACTTTGTATTATATATCTCCTCCGCACGTACGTTTTTAGGGATCTGATCGAAAAGCCGGCTGGCAAGCTATAACATCGTGTATATATATATCTTTCTCGAAAATTATAAAGATCACTTACACAAGTAGTAATTAATTTTAAGGAAAGATGAGTCAAATGAAATCCTTTACGAAAGAGTATCTCCGTGTAACTGTCCCACTCTCTGCCCTGAACTCTAACACATCGAATCTGTGTAATCCCTAAACTTTAGGGTTGTGACATATTTTTGCTTCAATTTTTCTGGATGTCTTTGATGTACTGAGTCTCACGAGTCACGTGTGACCAACCAACTATACAAGCTAATGCAAACTATATATATACATTATAGTTTATTGTGACAGTAAATGCATATATATTTTAACCAAAAAAATGCATATAATATTGGTGTAAAAAAATACTTGCATGGGTTGGCTAGTATTACCAACTATGATCATCGTGATACTTAGTAGATCTAGAGTTGTGACAGTCAGGGGCGGTCGGGCGGATGTAGTGCATTGTCGACGGTTTCAATTGAACCCATAACTTTCGACGCGGAATAAAAATTTATATGTAAAAATTCATTAAAATTACAAAAATAGTAGAAATGAACCCAAAACATTAAATATATAATGGGTTCAATGCTAAAAACTTCAAAAGTTGAACCCGTAGGATTTAATTCTTGGATTCGTCCTCCGGTGACATATTCAAACGAGGTTGGACCTTCTCTCTGCAATCCTTCGGCTGTTGTTACTGACTCAACTGCCCGATAACAAAAGATTACTTGTGTTAAAGTTATGGATTTTTTAAAAATATTTTTTATTACATCAGAGGAGATAAAGAGGAAGGAAAATGTTACGCTACTGATCGACAGGATTTGAACCTTCCATCTAAATTATGGATGTTGGGAAGCTTATCCTCAATCCCGAAGTCATAAATTTAACGTATACTACATACTTAAAAGTATAATTGTTTTGCCAAATTATCAGTGTATTCTAGTACTATAGCCAACAGTCTACTTTATTTTTCAGTGCAACCAGTTATTTGTAGTTATCTTGATAGTATAAAGACTCTTTTATAAGAGCTCATTTGGTTATCGTGATTATGAACATAATCCTTTAAATAAACAAATTGACAAGATTATCTTATGCTTTGAAATTTAGGTGATTTTTTTATTTTTTGGTATAAGTAATACTGGTATAATTTTATACCATATCGAGTGTAGCATAACAGAACTCAAGAATTACCTAAAACATTAAATAAATAAGTAACGACAATGCCAGCCTTTTTCTTATGAACGTTAAGGTTAAAGTTTGAAACAAAACTTTATTCAATTTGAAAGCAAACATATGTTTTAGAATCTTGTACACTATATATATATATATATATATATATATATATATATTCAGGAATTATTAGTCTCAATATTACAATCTGTGTATATAATCTCAACATAATTTTACCTTCAAACAAATAATTCCTTGGTGTATAGAAGTCAAACTCAAAAATTGTTACTTCCTCCTTCAAATCTTCGTATAATTTGTTGTTGTTGTTGCTGTTGTTGCTGATCTCTAGGGAAAAACTGATGGTGATAGAGGTGGTGGTTATGGTCTGGCCTCCCACCCCCTCCTCCTCCCATAAAATTGAACCCCAAATTATGCTGGTTGCCAGCTGCCAACAGTCCATAACTGTTCGTACTAGCAATGCCTCCTGTTGAGTAAAATAAATTAAATACATAAAAGTTTGTTACCTTTACTAACTTAAAATTTTAAATTAATAATTAATGGCCACACAATTCATTATCCATTGTTGAAAAATAAAGTCCGCACATGAAGAGGCGTGACACGATGATGTATATTGAAGGAGCAATCCGATGCACTAAGTTCTCGCTATGCGCAAGGTCTGAGGAAGGGCCGGACCACTAGGGTCTATTGTACGAAGTCTTACCCTGTATTTCTATAAGAGATTATTTCCACGGCTCGAACCCGTGAACTCTTGGTCACATCACAACAACTTTACCCGTTACGCTTTGTGCTATGATGTAAATTAAGTAAATAAAATTGTACATGTTTAACAACTTAAGCATTTAGATAAAGAAGTCACACGATACGATTAGATACCTCCTAAGTTCTGGTATTTGGAAAGCTCGGATTTGGCACAGCTAAGGTCAAGTTGGAGCTGTCGAAGCTGATGTTGAAGAAGCGAAATGACGCCAACGCAACCATAGACGGGGTCGCGGAGGCGCATGTCCGCTTCATAAGCGAGAGAGTTGACGGCGTCTTCCCTTTGGTGAGGCTGCAATTCATTGAGCAGCTTTGTCACATTGCTGGCTCCAAATATT